TAATATGCAACATCCAAAACCAAATCATCCCTCAAGTTACTCAAACAACCCTGATGCAATTCTTATGTGACATGGGCATGCAGTGAGCAGAAAGACCCTTCTCTGCTCCAGACCACTCCAAGCTGTACACCTCCTGGGACTATTTTTTCTCTCACATCTGTACCCTGTTTTTATAAATTCAGTGGTTTCCCTCTACATTATAAATACATTAAGAGATGCGGAGCCTTCTTGAAATACAAGGTCCTAGTTCCCATGGTTTTAGATGGAAAGATCTTACAAAATATGTCAGAAATTAAACCTTTCCCAGCTAATGGATGATTCTCACCAGGAGTTATAAGAGCAGACAAAGAATGAAATTACTAGGTAATGCACCATAACTAAAAATTAATACTTCAGACCACTCAATAGGCATTAAAATGCATGAAATGCTGGAGTTCAAGATCTTTAGAGCAGTGAGGAGGCTGTGTAGCAAACTGACTGCCCTGGACTTCAGGAGAGCAGACTTTGACTTCTTCGGGGATCTGCTCGGTGGAGTACCATGGGACAATGCCCTGGAGGGAAGGGGGGCCCAAGAAAGCTGGTTGATATTCAAGGATCACTTCCTCGAAACTCGTGAGCAATGCATCCCAACAAAGAAGAAGTCAGGCAAAAATGCCAGGAGGCCTGCACGGATGAACAAGGAACTCCTGGGTAAATTTAAACTCAAAAAAGCAGCCTACAGAGGGTGAAAGCAAGGACTGGTAGCCTGGGAGGAATACAGAGAAACTGTCTGAGCAGCTAGGGATCAGGTTAGGAAAGCTAAAGCCCTCATAGAATTAAACCTGGGCACGGGTGTAAAGGGCAACAAGAAATGCTTCTATAGGTACATTAGGGATAAAAGGAAGACTAGTGAAAATGTGGGCCCTCTCCAGAAGAAAATGGGAGACCTGGTTACCAGGGATATAGAGAAGGCTGAGGTACTCAATGACTTTTTTGCCTTCACTGGAAAGGGCTCAAGCCACACTCCTCAAAACTTGGAAGGCAAAGGCATGGACTGGAAGAATAAAGAGTAGGACAAGATCAGGTGCGAGACCACCTAAGGAATCTGAAGGTGCACAAGTCCATGGGACCTGACAAGACACATCCGCAGGTCCCGAGAGAACTGGCAGACAAAGTTGTTAAGCCACCATCCATCACATTTGAGAAGTCATAGAAGCCTGGGGAAGTTCCTACTGACTGGAAGAGGGGAAATATAAGCCAAATTTTTAAAAAGGGAAATAAGGAAGACCTGGGGAACTACAGGCCAGTCAGTCTCACCTCTGTGCCTGGCAAGATAATGGAGCAGATCCTCCTGGAAACTATGCTAAGGCACATGGAAAATAAGGAGGTGACTGGTGACAGCCCACACGGCTTCACCAAGGGAGAATCATGCCTGTCAAATTAGGTGGCCTTCTACGACAGGGTCACAGCTTTGGTGGATAAGAGAAGAGCACCTACCTGGACTTGTGCAAAGCACTTGACACAGTCCCACATGACATTTTTGTCTCTACATTGGAGAGACATGGATCTGACAGATGGACGACACGGTGGATAAGGAATTGGCTGGATGGTCGCACTCAAACAGTTGTGGTCAAAGGCTCAATGTCTGAGACCAGTCCAAGTGGCATTCCTCAGGGGTCAGTATTGGGAGCAGTGTTGTTTAACATCTTTGTGGGAGACATGGACAGTGGGACTGAGCACACCCTCAGTAAGTTTGCAACAACACCAAGCTGTGTGGTGCAGTCGACAGGATGGAGGGAAGGGATGCCATTCAGAGGGACCTTGACAGGCTTGAGAGGTGGGCCAATGCAAACCTCATGAAGTTCAACAAGGCCAACTCCAAGGTTCTGGGTCGAGGCAATCCCAAGCACAAATACAGCTGGGTGGAGAATGGCTTGAGAGCGGCCCTGAAGAGAAGGACTTTGGGGTGCTGATTGATGAACATGAGCCAGCAATGTGTGCTCACAGCCCAAGGTTCTGGGTCGAGGCAATCCCAAGCACAAATACAGCTGGGTGGAGAATGGCTTGAGAGCGGCCCTGAAGAGAAGGACTTTGGGGTGCTGATTGATGAACATGAGCCAGCAATGTGTGCTCACAGCCCAGAAAGCCAACCATGTCCTGGGCTGCATCAAAAGAAGCGTGACCAGCAGGTCAAGGGAGGGGATTCTGCCCCTCTACTCCACTCTTGTGAGACAGCCCCTGCAGTGCTGCATCCAGCTCTGGGGTCCTCCGCACAGGAAAGACATGGAGCTGTTGGAGTGAGTCCAGATGAGGCCATAAAGATCGTCAGAGAGCTGGAGCACCTCCCACACAAGGACAGGCTGAGAGAGTTGGGGTTGTTCAGCCTGGAGAAGAGAAGGCTCCAGGGAGACCTTCCAGCAGCCTTCCAGTGCTACATGAGAGATGGGGAGGCACTCTTGATCACTGAGTGTAGTGACAGGACAAGGGGTGACAGCTTTAAGCTGAAAGCTGAAAGAGGGGCGGTT